TACATTGTTAAAATAAAAGGTGTGTTAAAGCTGGTGGTGTGTTTGCCATCCTAACAGTGAAAATATTAGACAGCGTGGGATTAGGTGGAGACTTAAAGTCACCTAATTCAGAAGTTTATCCGGTTTGTGAATGAATATCCTCAGACTAGTTTTCTAGCTTCTGCTTGGACAAACTGTTTTTTTTTTTTTTTTTTTTTTTTTTAATGCATCAGATGATGGAGTGCTTGTTCACACCAAATTAAAATCTTCCTCCCTGCAGCTTCCAAACCTGGGTTCCAGTTCTGACGCCTATTCTATGTGAACCCGCTACAGAAGAATTCTGTAGCTGAATGATCATTTTTGAAATACAGCTGTATTTTCCCTCTTGATAAGTTAGCAAGGATTCTTTTCCAGAAGTTTTTTTGGGTTGTTTTTGTTTGCCATTTAGTGCTAGGACAAGAGACTGGGGTTTAATGTCTCTAGAAGGATAGGGCACCTAGGACAAAGAAAGAGGAGGCCAGGAAAAGATGAGGAAAAAGAAAGATCATGCCTGTAATCGCAGCACTTTGGAAGGCCAAGGTGGGCAGATCACTTGAGGTTAGGAGTTGGAGACCAGCCTAGGCAAAAGGGCGAAACCCCATCTCTGCTATTAATAAAAATACAAAACATTAGTCGGGCGTGGTGGCACGAGCCTGTAATCCCAGCTACTCAGGAGTCTGAGGCAGGAGAATGGCTTGAACCTGGGAGGTGGAGGCTGCAGTTGAGATCACTTCACTGCACTCCAGCCTGGGTGACATAGTGAGACCCCACTTCAAAAAAAAAAAAAAAAAAAAAAAAAAAAGCAAGATGAGCACAGGAGTGTAATTCTTTTCTGATAGGGAGACTGGTTTTAGTTGATAATGGTATTGTGGTCATGTTTAGAAAAGAGTTCCTACTGGACCAGGCACAGTGACCCACACCTGTCATCTCAGCAGTTTTGGAGGTGGAGGCAGGTGGGTACTTGAGGTCAGGAGTTCGAGACCAGGCTGGCCAACATGGCGAAACCCCGTCTCTACTAAAAATACAAAAGTAGCTGAGCATGGTAGCACACACCTGTAATCCCAGCTACTCGTGAGGCTGAGGCAGGAGAATCAATTGAACTCAGGAGGGTGAGGCTGTAGTGAGCTGAGATCGCACCACTGCACTCCAGTCTGTGAGACAGAGCGAGGCTCCATTTCAAAATAAAAAAGAAAGATGAGCTCAAGGGTATAACTCTTTTCCGATAGGGAGATTGGAAGAGGAAATGCAAAGTCCGTGCTCTGTATGTTTATTGGTTTATTGGGACTCCCAGAGTGAGCATAGAGAAGCCACCCCCCCCACACTTTCCCCTAAACCTTGGGTTCAACCCCAGGTAGGAGTCATTGAGAACAGTGGAAACACCCGGAGAGGGCTAGGGCAGAGGCAGAGGCACCACGAGGCTAATGAAGCTTAGGTTTCAGGGCCTCTCACTTGCTGGGCTTCAGCACACCTGAGTAAGCCAGGATCCCTCCTGCGCACTATGGGATTCACCCAGGACATGGAAGTGGAGGGCAAGAGTTTGTAATCAGAGGTAACAATGAGTCATTAGAAATGGAGAATGTGAACAGTGAAGCAGAAGTTAAGTTTTTAGATGTACGAGCCAGAAGCTCACCTGTGGGAAATCTTGCCAAGCATTAGGTATGTAAATTTGTACACAGCGGGTTTGATTCTCATCAAATTGAAGTTCTTTTCCATCAAGATTTTGCTTGATAATTAATTCTCTGCATAGAATTACAAATGCTCTATATATTAAAGCTTTTTTCTAATCCCAGCACAGATTAGTTTTAAATTTTTGTTTGTGGTGTCTTATTACTGTGGTTTGGATGACTGTCCCCTTCAAACGTCTTGTTGAAATTTGACTGCCAGTGTTGAAGTGGAGCCTAATGGGAGGTGTTTGGGTTATGGGGCAGAGCCCTCAGGAATAGATTAACACCCTCTCCGTGTATTTATTTATTTTTTGCGACAGTGTTTTGCTCTTGTCTCCCAGGCTGGAGTGCAATGGCATGATCTTGGCTCACTGCAACCTCCACCTCCTGGGTCAAAGTGATTCTCCAGCCTCAGTCTCTCAAGTAGCTGGGATTACTGGTGTATGCCACTATGCCCATCGAATTTTTGCATTTTTAGTAGAGGCAGGGTTTCACCTTGTTGGCCAGGCTGATCTCAAACTCCTGACCTCAGGTTATCTGCCCACCTCGACCTCCCAAAGTGCTGGGATTACAGGTGTGAGCCATGGTGCCTGACCAGTTAACGCCCTCTCTGGATGGGGGAGTGAGTGAGTTCTTGCTGTATTAGTACCTAAAAGACCTGGTTGTTTAAAAAGAGCCTGGCACCTCCCCACCCACTCTTTCCGGCCTCCTCTCTCAGCATGTGATCTCTGCACACGACGGCTCCCCTTCACCTTCTGCCATGAGTGGAAGCAGCATGAGGCATGCTTCTTGCACAGCCTGTGGAACCGTGAGCCAAAGAAATCTTTTCTTTATAAATTACCCAGCCTCAGTTATTCCTTTACAGCAACACAAATGGACTACATCAGTTATCTATTGCTGCATTACAAATTACTCCAAAATCGAGTGGCTTGAAACCACAAATATTTATTCTCTCACAGTTTCCTTGGGTTAGGAGTCTAGGTGTGGCTTAGCTGAGTCTTCCAGCTCAGGGGCTCTTGCAAGGCTGCAGTCACATGTTTGCTGGGGCTGTCGTTGGCTTGATGTGGGGTGTGGAGTTCTTATCCAAGCTCATTCAGTGGTTGTTGGCAGGATTCGGTTCCTCACGGGTTGTTGGACTGAGGGCCTCAGTTCCTCACTGGCTGTTGGCTTCATTTCCTTGCCATGTGGGCCTCTCCATGGGACGTCTCACAGTGTGGCTGCCAGCTTCTATCAAAGTGAGAAAGTGAAAGAGGAAGAGAGAGAAAGCAAGATGGAAGCCACAGTCTTTTTGTAACCTAATCTCTTGCCAACTTGTTCAGAATAAAACCACAGTCCTTCAAAGAGCGAAAAGCCTGCATGACCTGCCCCATGTCCTGCCCTGTCTGATGTCATCCCTTGTCATACTTCCCTTGGCTTTCTCCATTCCAGCCACTCTGGCCTGTTTGCTGTTCCTGAAACTCACCAGGCACACTCCTGCCCCAGGACCCTTGCACTTGCTATTCTGTCTGTAATACTCCCTCTGGATAGCCACGCAGCCACTCCCTCATCACTTTCCTACCTTTAATCATTTAGTCACTTTCTTGGTGATGACTTCCCTGGTCACCCAGTTTTTAACAACGACATGTCATTCCCCTAGCCCTGGGCACTCCTTTGACCCATTTCCTATCTGAAATATCTTTAGGACTTAACCACCCAGGATGTCAGCTTTCTGAGCTGGGATGCAAGTTCCATGAGAACCGTTGTTTTGTTTTGTTTTGCTTGTTAAAGTTTATGGCTACATCCCTAGCTCCTAGAACAGGGCCTAGGACACGGTAGCAATTAATTCCTTTGATTTGCCAGCTTAGTCACTAGTAGATCATGAAAGAAAGTCAAGTTCATCCCGTCATACTGTATACTACTGATCCCTCTCTCTCTTATTTTCTTTCTTGCTCAACTTAGTTTTAGTTTTAGAAAGAATGTGTGCACACAGAAAAATTAAAATAATCCAGAAAGGTATAAAATGCAAAAGAAACATCACAATCCCCTCCCCAAATTCTTCCCTTAGTCCCATTCCCAGAAGTTTCTCTTTTCAAGATTTCCTCTTTTAATTTTTTTGATGGTTATTAGAGAACCTGAAATTTGCTTATACCTTTCTTTCTTGATTTATCAATGCAGAATGTGTCTATTAATTCCCTGCCATGAAAATGAAGAATTTAGGCCAAGTGCCATGGCGCAAGCCTGTAATCCCAACGCTTTGGGAGGCCAGGGAGGGTGGATCACTTGAGCTCGGGAGGATCACTTGAGGTCAGGATCACCTGAGTTCAGATCTGCCTGGGCAACATGGCAAAACTCCATCTCTACAAAGAAAAACAAAAACAAAAATTAGTCTGGGGTGTTGGTGCATGCCTGTGGTCCTGGTTACTTGGGAGGCCAAGATGGGAGGATTGCTTGAGCCAGGGAGGCAGAGGTTGCGTTGAGCTGAGGTCATGCTACTGCACTCCAGCCTGGACAATAGAGTGAGACCCTGAAAAAAAAAGAAAAGAAGAAAGGAAGGAAGGAAAGAAGGAAGGAAGAAAGAAAGGAAAGAAGGAAGGAAGAAAGAAAGGAAAGAAGGAAGGAAGGGAATTTAATGCATCTATTATGTCACTTATTTTCCCTAAACAGTTTTTATTAGATATATTATTTTGGTTCTTCTTTAGTTCTTCTATGGTATATTTTACAACTTCAAATAAAATACTAAGAGCTTTATTTCTCAATGTATCAAATTCAGGCAGCTCCTACTGACCCTCTCCTGTGGTAGATGCAGTTTGCATACTTTTATTTTATTTCTTTTTCACCTTCCATTTCTTTACTAGACTTTTTTTTTTTTTAATATTATCATGGTTTGTAATATTTACATTATGTTCTGTAACCATAATTATGCTTTCCTGTGATTTGACTATAGATTGATTCTAAGAATAAAAATAATCTTAAAAGCTATTACGATATTATAATTATTATTATTTTTCTTTTTTTTTTTGAGACGGAGTCTCGCAGTGTTGACCGGGCTGTAGTGCAGTGGCACAATCTCGTCTCACTGCAGTCTCCACCTCCTGGGTTCAAGCAATTCTCCTGCCTCAGGCTCCCGAGTAACGGGGACTACAGGCATGCGCCACCATGACCAGCTAATTTTTCTGTATTTTTAGTAGAGACGGGGTTTCACCATGTTAGCCAGGATGGTCTGATGGTCTTGACCTCCTGACCTCGTGATCCACCCACCTTGGTCTCCCAAAGTGCTAGGATTACAGGCGTGAGCCCCCATGCCTGGCCAATATTGTAATTATTTAAATATCATTCGACCCTCCTTTTCTTGGTGGGGACCGGACTTGTGGTCCTGCTCCCCGTAATGTACGGAGGAAGAGGGAAAGGGCTCTGGCACCCTCGGCGTCATGTCTCCGGTGCCGGTGGCTTCCCACCCGCTGGTTCTATCCTCAAGCGCCGAGACACCTGAAAGAAAAGAGAGAGAGAAAAAAAAGCATTCACCATTGAATCAATCATGACTGGTTCTATAGAGAAAAATGTAATTCAATGCCATTAAAACTTAGAAGTGTAAAAAAAAATCACTGAATTGTTAATACCTCAATATCTCCTATTTCCTCTTATTTTTCTTTATTTCTAGGTCATTTTCAGGTACCACTGCTTCTGGTATTTCATGCCACTTTCTTGGAGTCATTCATTTTTCTGGAAACTGCCAAAATAATTTTTCAAGTAAATTTTCTAAATCTTTACAAGTCCAAAAATGTCTCTCTTTATCCCCTTGCCTTGATGGATAGTTTGTCTGAGTGTAGAATTCTAGCTTCAAAGTCTTTGCTTCTCAGAACTTGGAAGCAGGGCTGCCTTTATTGGCATGAGAGCTGTGCACACCAGGACAGAATGTGGTGTGAAATACAACAGGCATCGGTGGCTGAGAATGACCTAAAAATAAAGGGGTAAAAGAAAATAAGTGGCCCCATTCTTAGAAAGGCCCCATGCTTGATTTAATGCCCTGTTATCATCTTGAACTGCTTATCAAGTTTTGAACAAGGGGTGCCACATTTTCATATTCATGGAGCCCAACAATGTATAAAGTAGCCCTGTTTGAAAGACATTCAAGCATCTAGCTATGTAAAAGTCTAAAGTAGGTAACACGCTTTCTCCTGGAAACTTTTGATATGCACACACATATACATTTTTAATCGTTAGGATTCTGAATTTTCAGTAAGATATCCCTAGCTATTGGGCTTATTACCCTGTTCTTGGCATTCAGTGGGCCCTTTTACTTTGAAACTATTCATTTCATTCTTAAGCTTAGGTATTTTCCCCTCTAATCTTTCTTTAATGTTCTATTCCCTTTCTCTGTTTTCTTTGCTTGTGTAATTAATGTTGGTCTTCCTTCATCTTTTATTGTCTCAATTTTTCTCTTGTATCTTCTATTTTCTTGCCTTTTTGAGTTATGTTCTGGAAGATGTCCTTGGTTTTATTTTCCAAACCACTAATTTGGCCTTTAGCTTTGTTTATTCATTATTCAGCTCATTCACTTAAAAAAAATTTTTTTGGCAGTCACATTGTTTAGGTTCCTCAAACTTCATGGGGGACAATCAAGTCTTTCAAGTCTTCTTTTTCATAACAGCTTATTCTTGTTGCTTGAAATTTGTGCTCGTTTCTCTGAGATTGTTCATTAGAATTAAGAAAAAAAAATACCAATCACTTCTCTTCTTTTCCTGAATCAAATTTCTTCCAGGGTGAGCTATTTCTTACTGTGTCTGTTTATCATGTTAGTCCTTTGTTTATACTGCTGATTTTCCTACATGCATTTTTTTTTGTTCTTTCATATTTATAAGTTTCTGCTTATTAGTATGTAGCTGGGTTGGGCTTTTGCTGCAGTTTATCAACATGATTCTTCCCTGAATGGGAACTCTGACTGTGGGATTTAGGTAAGTGGGTGAAGAGTATTTACAGGCATTCTTCTAGTGCAGTACCTGGGCAGTCAGCCGGCAGGTTGAGCAACTCAATTATCAACGTAAGAAGGGCTTTATTCTGGGAGAATGGAACCTTAGTCTATTTCTATCCTTGTCTGTTACTCCTCTTTCATCTCTTCATTCTTCGTCTACTTGATGTCTGTGGTGGAGCCCTGGTACCTTAAGCCCTGCTGTATTTCTCTTCCAGGTCTCAGCACCCTTAGGAGCACCCCTCAGAAATGTTACCTAATTTCTGTAGAGAGCCGTTCTAGCTTTTGCCTAGACCAGTGTTTTCAGTGTGACCCCAGACCAGTAGCGTCAGCACCACCTGGGAACTTAGAAATGTGAATTCTCTGCTTCGCTGGGTTCTCCTAGAACTCCTGGGGTGGGGTTGAACAATCTGGGTTTGAATAAGCCCAAGAACAAGACCAGTGGCTTGAGAACTGGCCCCGGGCAAAGCCCACTGCAGCTATAGTGGCTCTGTTTCCGAGGCAGAGAGGGCAAGCACACTTGCCGTGGGTGGTTCTAGAGGAGACGTTTAATGAGCTACCCTGCTGCTTACCCTGTGGCTCCCCGTTGCCTTTAAACGCATTGGCTGGAGTTCGACGTTTCTCTGAGGCTTTCTTTTCTTTTTTTTTGAGACAGGGTCTCATTCTGTTGCCCAGGCTGGAGTGCAGTGGTATGAACACAGCTTGCTGCAGCCTCCACCTCCTGGGCTAAAGTGATCCTCCTGCCTCAGCCCCCCAGGTAGCTGGGACCACAGGAATGCTTCACCATGCCTGGCTAATGTTTAAATTTTTTGTAGAGACAGGCATCTCACTATGTTGCCCTTGCTTGTCTTGAACTCCTGGGCTCAAATGATCCTCCCACCTCTGCCTTTCAAAGTGCTGGGATTACAGGTGTGAGCCACCAAGCCCAGCCCTGTGAGGCTTTCTTGAGAAGACTCACAATTACTTTTGGTGTGGTTTATCTTTCTTTTTTTAATCATTCAAATTTCATCTGCTTTTTTAAAAATAGCAATTTAGCCATAATAATAGAAGGATATAATTAGTAAATTCAACAGTACTAAATGACTTAGAATAAAGAAAGCAGTCTCTGCTTGCACACTGCACCCTTGCCCAGCCTCCCCACCCCCATGCCACCCAGACCCACTCCCCAGTGGCAACAATTTTGAACTACTTTGAACTCCTTCCTTTCTTTCTTCCTTCCTTTCTTTCTCTCTCTCTTTCTTTCTCTCTCTCTTCTTTCTTTCGACGGAGTTTCACTCTTGTTGCCCAGGGTGGAGTGCAATGGCACATTCCTGGGTTCAAGTGATTCTCCCGTCTCAGCCTCCCAAGTAGCTGGGATTACAGGCATGTGCCACCATGCCCGGCTAATTTTTTGTATTTTTATTAGAGACAGGGTTTCACCATGTTGGCCAGGATGGTCTCGATCTCTTGACCTCATGATCCACCTGCCTCGGCCTCCCAAAGTGCCGGGATTACAGGCATGAGCCACCTTGCCTGGCCCTTTAGCTACTTGCTTGTTATTTAACTCCGTATTTCTCGATGAACTATTTATACAGCTCTTTCTCAATGTCTCAATCTTGGACATTATCTATTGACTTCCAGTGATCGTTATTGAAGATTTCACTCTTTCACACCCTCTTCTCTTTCCATCATTCTCGGTACAGTTATATTACATGTTTTGTGTGTGTGTCTGGTTTAAATTAATAGCCAGCGTTTAAATGGGATTCACTAACAGACCCCATAGTGTGCTGGGATTGTTTCCTTTCTCTCACAACTTGAATTTGTCCCAAAGTTAAAATTAACTTTTACAAATTTGCAGCTAGGTACGGTGGCTCACCCCTGTAATCCCAGCACTTTGGGAGTCAGAGGTGGGTGGATCACAAGGTCAAGAGATTGAGACCATTATGGCTAATATGGTGAAACCCCATCTCTACCAAAATCCAAAAATTAACTGGGCGTGGTGGTGCATGCCTGTAGTCCCAGCTACTCGGGAGGCTGAGGCAGGAGAATCACTCGAACCCCGGAGGCAGAGGTTGCAGTGAGCCAAGATCGCGCCACTGCAATCCAGCCTGGCGATAGAGCGACACTCAGTCTCAAAAAAAAAAAAAATTGCTTATTTTTTTAAGTGCTTCTTCATTAATATCCCCTAAAATGCTCCTATGTATCTGTCACACTGTTATTATTTTTTTTCTAATGGTAAAAAAACTATTTCAAACAATTTATCAGTTTTATCACCATCATCATCATCATTTTGAGATGGGGTCTCACTCTGTCACCCAGGCTGAAGTACAGTGGTGTGATCATGGCTCACTGTAGTCTCCAACTCCTGGGCTCAAGCAATCCTTCTCCTCGGCTTCCCAAAGCACTGGGATTACAGACATGAGCCACCACGCCCTGCCTGTTTCATTAGTTTTCAATCCCCAGAGACCCGCCTTTTGGAGCCTTCTATCCTCTTCAATCTGAGAGATTATTCTCTAGGCCTTTGCTTGCCTCTGATCCTGGGGTTTCTTTTTACCATTCTCCCATGTTTCATGAATCTTTGCAGGAAGTATTTAAGCAGCTCAGCATAAAATCGCCCTTCCTAGAATTGTGCTACTAATTCCTGACCTTCTGTCCTAATCTCTGTGAGTAGGTCATTGTTTTGATATGTACAAGACAATTTACACCTAGTACCTAACTTTGTTCTTTTCTTAAATAGAAAAACAGCTGTACTGAGGTATAACTGATACACAATAAACTGCAAGTATTTAATATGGGCAAGGTAATGAGTTTGGACATACGCATACTCCCATGAAACCATCGCCACCATCAGGGTAATAGACATATCCATCACCTCCAAAACTTTCCTTCTGTTCTTCTATCTTCTTGCCCAGGGAAGGTTATTCCTACCACTGACTTCTAGCCCCACGAGGGGTCTCTCATACCTGCTCACAGACTTCCTTGATGCCAATGGGCATCTCAGATTCTTGAATTTATTGTCCCTTGGATTCCACATCACCGTGCCCTCTTCAGAATATAGAAGGAAAATAGACTGTAAAGTCACGCAGACCTGGGGTCATATCTCACCTGCTCCCATTTCTAGCGGAATAATTTTTGGCAAGTGAAGTCTTATTTTCTATGTTAGAGAAGCCCAGGGATCATAATACCACTTGCATGAAGATTGTTGTAAGGATTGAATGAGACAAGATATACTAAGCAGCTTGGAGAGTTCCTGGCACGGAATACTAGCTCTATTTTCCATTCTCTATTATATTGTCTCTGATCCCATTGCCAACACAGCTTTTTCTGCAGTGTCATCTGGTTTTACAATTTCCTTTGGACAATGGGCTTTTTTTTTTCCTTTTTGTGACAGACTCACCCTTCTCCATGCATCCGCCCCTCGGTCTGATTCTCCAGCCCCACCTGCCTCCACTTCTCCCATACTTTGATACTTCCCTTTGGCCTCATTCAATAACTTGGTCTAATTTTTTTTTTTTTTTTTTGACAGTCTCTCACTCTGTTGCC